TGACCAAGCAATGACCATAACCTTGCCCCTTGTCAGCTCTACTATACACCTGGGAATTCTGATCATTCACATAAACTTATAGGACCATTGTCTGTGTTTGGCTGTAATCTTTATGAAAGAATATCATCAGGGCTTTCTGTTGAGGAGTCACTGGGGGAGGGGAGGTTCAAACACCAACCTAGTTAGTAGTTGAGAGCAAATGTTTGTGCCACCCAGGAACCTCTCAGCAGTGATACCTTCATCAAACCCTCAGCATTACATACTGCCTACATCTGGTCAGCTTCTCATTTACTTGCTTGACCCCTATAGCCAACTGGTAGAAGGAACCAGTAGCAATGATGTTCCCCAGGTTCATAACAAAAAAAAAAAAAAAAAAAAAAAAACTCACTGCTATGGAGTCGGATCTGACTCATAGCAGTCCCTCCTTGGGTTTCTGAGGCAGTATCTCTAGGGAAGTGCACTGCCCAACCTTCCTTCCGAGGAGTGGCTGGTGGGTTTGAACCGTCATGATGCCTTCTGGTTAGCAGGCAAACGCCTTAGGCACTATGCTACCAGAGCTCCCCAGGCTCATAGAACAGAAACCACATGAGTTCAGAAACTTGGCAGGGGGTGACAGAAGAGTAAGAAAAAGAGAGAGAGGATACAGAGGTGCCTGGTTTCCTTGTGTTTCTTGGTTCCAGGGCCTGATCCAGGTTACCCTCACTTTTGTGAGATAATTTGGAATACAATGAGCCAGACTAAGGTAGGGAGTTACTAAGAAATTGGCAGGTAACAGCAATGAGAAAAATAAGATAGTGGAATGGCTAGATGGCATATACCTCAAGGAGAAATTCTTGCATGAAGGTGGAACATACATTGCCTGTAAAGTGTAGTCAAGAATTAGGTACTTGCTAACTGCCTACCCTGGCCCAGGAAGACCAGGGAGAGGAGAATGAACAACTTTGGCTCAAGAGGATGTACAGTCAAAAATATCCTCAGAGAAAATCAGAAGCATTCTGGGAAGGGCTATGTGTGTCTACAGTTCCAGAGGGCATGGAGGAAGAGATAGAAGCCTGGGGAGAAGATACTTAAGAGAAGTTTAAGCCTGAAAATTTATATCATTTAGGAGTATAGAGCTCTGGTAGCATAGTGCCTAAGGCACTTGACTGCTAACCAGGAGGCTGGCGGTTCAAACCCACCAGCCACTCCTTGGAAGGAAGGTTGAGCAATCCTACTTCTGTAGTGATAACTGCCTTGCAAACCCAAGGAGGGGTCACTAGGAGTCGGGGCCGACTTGATGGCAAATAACAACAACAAATAACAGGAGTATAGACCGTGTCTAGTAACTTTCACAATGTGTTGAAAAGTGAGGTCTCTATGTCAGCAAATGGAGAGAGCTTTTTGGAAGAGAGTGCATTTGAGCTGCATTTTAAACAGGTGAAAGGGAAATGCTTCACAGTAGACACAACCACAACCACAAAGGCAGGGTGGCAGAACTTTTAGGGGGAAAGCAGGCAGTTTATAGTTAAGGTCTGGCATCATGGGGCCTTTGTTTGGCCTAAGTGACTCAGCTAGTTATTTTCTATCTTGGAACCTCAGTTTCCATTATTATAAGATCAGAATAGCAACATTGTATTTCTTCCATCTAAGACCAACTGCCTCCACCACACTCCACTTTTAATGTTTTAATGTTTCTCAATGTAGGGCACATCTTACAATTGATACACCAAAATGCTTTCTTTACCACAGAGAAGAGAAATTGTGACAGTGTTATTACTAACAGGGTATATGCAAATTTAACCAACCGCAGAAGGAAGATGTTCATCTGATAATTAGCTTAGTTGAGTTACTTGCATTGATAGTAGAGGAATTTTAACTTGAATCCCAAAATGTCACTTTAGGTGTCTTCTTAAAGGATACACTCTGATGAAGCATTGAAACAATAACTTATTGTGTATGTAGATTAGTTATCATGCATCAGGAATGCAATGAAATGTAGTAGAAATTGCCAACTCTCTTGGTAAACGTGACATTACCAAACAAACAAACAAACTCACTGCTGTTGAGTCAGAACCAACTCATGGCAACCCCTCTTTGGGTTTCCAAGGTGGTATCACTACGGAAGTAGATTGCCCAACCTTCCTTCTGAGGACTGGCTGGTGGGTTTGAACCGCCAGCCTTCTGGTTAGCAGTCAAATGCTTTAGGCACTTTGCCACCAGAGCTCCTAACACTTGAATAGTCTTTGAAATATCTCAAAATTAGATTATTAATTTGTAATGGTGCTACAGAGATCAAGATACAACTACTACAGGTTATGAAAAACAGCATGCCACAATGATGCTATACTTAGCCAGAGAGTCAAAAGGATTAATAAAAGACTTTATGGACAGTGCAAGTGAGAAAGCTTAGACTTACCCTTTCATTATGATATGGAAGAAGAAAGTGGTACAATTATAATAATAGATAATATTTATTGAATGATTACTGCGTGGCACTGTTTTAAGTCCCTTTATTTGTTGTTGTTATGTGCGGTTGAGTCCTTTTTATAGGTCTTATCTATTTAGCTTAGCGCCTAAGGCACCTGACTGCTCATCCGAAGACTGGCAATTCAAACCCACCAGCCACTCCTCGAAGGAAGATGGGGCAATCTACTTCCGTAGTGATACTGCCTTGGAAATCCAAGGAGGGGTCGCTATGAGTCGGGTCCGACTCGATGGCACACAACAAAAACAACAAATTTCAGCCCCAAGTCAAATCAGTGGTGTTATATTCATTTTACAGTGAGGGAGAAGTTTGCCTCCTGACTCTCAGTCACTACGCTGTTAGAACACACTACGTATGCATATTTTATGGATATGGTTATGTTTTTTAGGTTGGTTTAAAAGTATACATTTAAACATATTGTATCATGGTACTTTCTACAATCGATGGCATCTTAAAATCAATTAAGTATGGTAAATACCTGCCTTGTAGTATTGTGAGAATCAGTTAATATTTTAACACGCTGCTAGAAAATTTGTGGATTATAAGGCAAGTATTGCAGGATGGGCTACAGTGAGCCTGATCTTCAGAACCCTTTCATCTTAGAAAAGGAGAAAGCTACTGGGAGAAAAGTGTCGGTAGGAGGAATGGCTTGTGTGGTTAGGAAATCAGTTCCTGCACACGAAACGCCCTCTCATACCTGTCTTAAATCCTTCCGATCTTTCAGTGCCCATTCCAAATGCCAGCTGCTTCAGGAAGTGGTCTCTCTGGTTATGAGTTGATGCACTTGGCAGCAATCTCCAAATTATTAAGCAATGAAACCATGTGTTACAGACGGATTTTATCATTAAAGTTACCCTCGCTTCTCTCCTGGCTTCAGTTTCCCTAAACTGAAAAGAAGTGATGGCTTAGCCTATCTTCGTTTTTACAATTTCTGCTCCTAACCTCTTCAGATTTTTCCCAAAACTGCTTTAAAAGAGTAAATCGCCTTCCTCCGCCTCGCAGGCGGCAGCTCTTTTGCGTTGGCAACTCTACAGGGCGGGGCTGGGGAAGCGGGAGAAGAGGCGGAGGCTCGGAGTGAAGTGCTGCGCGCAGTCACATGACTTCCTTCCCAAGGAGCCCCAGCTGCCGGCCTCCCAGCAACTGGGTGCGTCCCGCCTAACGACGCCGACGCATCCCGGTTGGCCTCGGGTAGGGTTGTAGCAAGAAGGTGCTCACGGTCGCGCTGCTCATTGGGTTGGGCTACTGTCGTTCAGAAGCGTTGCCAGAGCACCCGCAGGCGGTGCTGCCAGAAGCCCCTCCCACTGGCCACAGGGTTCGTGGCTGGCTGGCTGTGGCTGTCACTCCCAGGCCGTTTCCCTGAGGCCCGAGCTCTGCTGGGGGCGGGAGGAAGAGGGGCCGGACTGGGGCCTGAGGAGTCTTCTCAGCCGCCACCGCTGCCTTCGCGGCTGCTATGACCAGCGGGCGAGGCGTCCTCCCCACATCAGCGCAGCCCTAGTCCGGGTCGTGCGCACGCCGTAGCCGTCCGGGTCCCCAGCGCGGCCGCTCCCTCGGCTCTCCCAGCTCCGCCGGAGGGGCGAGACGGAGGCAGGATGAAGATGACAGTGGATTTCGAGGAGTGTCTGAAGGACTCGCCCCGCTTCAGGTAACCGGCACGGCCGCCCGGCGCCCGACCGGCGTCACCCCGGAGCTGCTAGCCCGGCAGTGGGGACGTGAAAGCTGGCCCAGCGAGACGGGCCGAGGTCCCCGCAAACAGCGCTTCCGACGGGCGAGTGGCCGGCCGTTGCCACCGCTTCCGACCCGGCGAGGGCACCGGAGCTCCCGACTGACCCTTCCCGAGGGGCAAGGCTGTGATCGGGAGGGGGTCGTCGCCTTCTCGCCCATTTTTCCTTGCTCTCTGCCTCGAAGAAATGGGTGCAGCCGCCCTCCCAAAGACTCCTATAACCTTTGCGGGCGCGCGTTCTCGTCCCCTTCCTCTTCTAGCTGCTCATCCTTTCCCCTTCCGCTCCTTCTTCGTTTCCACTCTCCGCCCCACCCACTCTGTGGTGGGGAGCTCTCAGGGACACCCTCTTGCAGTTCACTTAGTTCCTCTTTGCGCTTTTCCTCTCTCCTGTACCTCGGGGAGGAAGGAGTAGGGGCGAACTCGGACACCGACTTCTGCTTATTCTGTGCCTTCTGCCAGAGAGGCTCTTAAGAAGGCGCTGGCAGTGGATTTGCCCGCGAGTCGGGGGTGGAGGTGCTTTGACCAGCTGCCTGCTGTCGACCCTGATCCATTACTCTCTGCTTTTCTTTCCACTTAAGCACTTTGAAGGGAAAATGGGTGTCGAGAGGTACTGGGCTGAGAGGTGAGGACGAGGAGAAACAGTGCATTTCTGTTTTGAGAACGGAAGTAGGAGGGCCCAGAAGATTGCATTTATGTTCCTCTTCCAGCAGCCTCGGCCCTGGAGGGCCCCGGATCACAGTGGGATGCTCCCAGTGGAACTGTCACATAAACTGACGTGGTGGCACTCCCATTCATATGAACTGACCTTCCTTTCCTTTGAAAAGTGGCAGGCCTGAGAGTGCTCAGAGTACATACTCTTTCCGTTTCGGGCATTGTAAGAAACTCTTTTAATTGTTTGGGAGAGTGGAGTTTTTCTAGGTTGTATTTTACAGTGGTATATATAGGGCTTTCCTTAGGCCTTAAAATAAACAAGACCCTAAAACTTCGTTAGATTGGACATTGCTTGAAAGCGTCTTCCCTTGAGAATTGTGTATCTGTCGCTGTGTGTGTGCCTGTCGGTCTTGTGTGCCTGTGCCTGCTGATGTGTATGCCAAGCCTGGGTGGTAAATGGGTGGGAAATTCTTGCATCCTCCGCATGAGAACTAAGTGTTCTCATCCTTATCACTGTGAATTCAGTTTCCTATTCTCCTTTCAGTGAAAAACAAACAAAAGAAATGTAAAACTAAGGAACATCTATTTCTGAGAGAAAATTTAAAAACACTTTATTTTTGTCTTTGGCTTTTGATCTTTTTTTGGTGTTAATTTTATTCAGTTTAGGGCTATAGCTTGTTAAAAAAACAGGCACTTGGTTTGATTGCTTATTGCTGTTAGTTTGTGAAACTTAAGGTTTTTTGGGAACTGAAGGGCTCAGAGGAGACATAAATGGGTTGTTTAGAGCAAACTTGACATTTAGTTTCTTGGATGGTGTGGCAAACAAAGTCATTTTTAAAGTGTACTGCTTTTTTGTGAAATTTTTTATCAATGTGACTCAGCTATTTATTTTTAAATGAATTAATCACAGCATTTTTCTCTTAGAGATTGTGACTTTATGTTCAATTTGTTTCATATTTCAAGTTTGATTTTTTAAAAAAAGTAAGTTGAGAGAAGTGATTTGGAAATACTTCTAGCCACTGGTGTTGGTCACAAACCAGTCTGTGTTCTTGAAATAGAAGAATCATTGATTATAGGGGGGAAAGATATGATTAAATTGTATGGAGCATAACAGTGAACTTTGTTAAATTTGAATGTAATATCTATTCTATTTTAATTAAGATTTTAGAGACTTTTAAAAGAATTGTTTCCATTATTCCAATTGTTGGCTGCAAATTGGGAAACCAGTTGAATGGATTCTAACTCATAGTGATCCTATAGGACAGAGTAGGGGAGCTCTGGTAGTGTAGCACCTAAGGCACTTGACTACTAACAAGAAGGCTGGCGGTTCAAACGCACCAGCCACTCCTTGGAAGGAAGGTTGGGCAATCTACTTCTGTAGTGATACGGCCTTGGAAACCCAAGGAGGGGTAGCTAGGAATCAGGTCCCACTCAATGGCATATAACAGCAACAACAAAAACAACAACAGGACAGAGTAGAACTGCTCTTCAGGGTTTCCAAGGCTGTAAATCTTTAAGAAAGCAGACTACCACATCTTTCTCCTGCAGGGTGGCTGATGTGTGCCAACTGCCAACCTTTCTAACTTTTCAGTTAGCAGCCAAATGCTTAACCACTCCGCCATGAGGGATCCCTGCAAATTGAGGAGACCAAAATTCAAAGAACTCAAATATCTTGTATAAATTTTTTGAGAGTAGATTAGATTTGCAGTAGAGGGAAGGATGCCAAAGAAGTCTCATTATTCATTCACATTCCTAATTTCTAGTTTTTCCATAACCATGCGGGAGCTCTGGTAGCGTAGTGCCTAAGGCACTTGACTGCTAACCAGAAGGCTGGCAGTTCAAACCCACCAGCCACTCCTCGGAAGGAAGGTTGGGCAATCCTACTTCCGTAGTGATACTGCCTCGGAAACCCAAGGAGGGGTCACTATGAGTCGGGGCCGACTCGACGGCACATAACATAACAATGTAGATATTTGTATGGCATTTGAAAAAGAACATTTCAGAATAGTCTTTTTACTCACATATAAGAGAAACTTGACTTTTAAGAGTACTGTGTGTGCTGTGAGTGATGTATTGAAACTCATTTCAAAATAAAAAATTTGTGAGGCTGGGCTTGTTTCTTTGATAGTAAGGCTGCACTAGTGATGCAGTGTCCTGATCTGTTGTGCTATCTTTAAATTGATTCCTGCTTTAATTTTCCTTCTCAAAGGAATCTTGTGACATTAGTTTGGCATATGGATCTAATTGCCTTGGATGCTGCTGAATTAATACAAAAGGCAGATCTTGCTAAAGAAAAATTTCACCATCGTTTGAACTTTAAAGATTAATTTTCCTATTAAATGGGTGAGAATAGGAGGAAAAGTGGTTGAAATATACAGAGACAGACATCGCAGTTCCAACATTGTCTTTAGTAATTTGAATAAAGTGAGTGGTTACTTTTAAATTTCGATTAACATTGTTTTATTTTTATTTTTTAGGTTAGAGGGAATGTTTCATTGTGTAATTTTGGGCTGCTTTTTTTAGCTTTTTAAACACCAATCTAAGAGTAACTTAAAGGTCAAAATCTTGTGCATCTAAAAATCTACTAGAACATAAATGTATCTAAATGTGCTCCCCCCACCCTGTGTTAATTTTACATTTTCATCAACATTTGTTCAAAAAGTTTGGACTTTTGGGGCCATAAATTGTATATATAGGAATCACCTACCAGCCACTCCTTGGAAGGAAGAAGGGGCAATCTACTTAGTGGTGATACTGCCTTGGAAACCCAAGGAGGGGTTGCTATGATTGGGATCTGACTTGAAGGCAGTGAGTTCCGTTTTGGTTTTGGTGGTGATGCAGTGGGCTAAGTATTTGGCTGCTAACACAGAGGTTGGCAGTTCAAACCCACCAAACTGATCCATGGGAGAAGGATGTGACAACTTCTGTAAAGATTTATAGCCTTGGAAACAATTCTTCTGTGTCACATGGGGGTCTATATACGTTTGGTTTTATTTTTTGTTAAATTGTAAGTAGTTATTCTTTAAATTTGTATAAAAATTGTGCTTTTCCTTTAAATATTTTCTGGTTCCCTCAAGAAGTGAATATTTTGTTGGCAGCAAAAAGTTTTATTAATGAGAGCTTTGTGAATTGTGAATGATTTTTGCCCAAAACACTGTTCAGTTATAAAAATGTTGACATTAATAAGCCTTTATCTAATTTATCTAATTCATGTAGTGCCTTAGGCATGTGACTGCTAACCAGAAGGCTGGCAGTTCAAACCCACCAGTCACTCCTTGGAAGGAAGGTTGGGCAATCTACTTCCGTAGTGATACCTCCTCGGAAACCCAAGGAGGGGTCACGACGAGTCCTGTCTGACTGGACGGCAGTGCGTTTAGTTTGGTTTTGGTTGCAGTTTTTATCCTTTAATATTGTTTATTGTATACCATCCTGTGGTCTTTTATTTTAAAGATTCTGTTTCAGATATAATCCTTGTTCAGTAACTTGGGTTAAAATCTCTTTTAAAAAAGATTTTTTTTTGGATAAAAGGTTTTAATGGAAAAAAGGCATTGGAATAAAATGTGATTATACATACCTTGGCTATGTTTTCATTTAAGCTGGTGCCAGTTCTGGCTGCTTTGTCGCCTTACCTCTCACCTTTAGAACTGATAAATTCTTAACAACTGGCAGCTTGTACTTGGAAAATATGGTGGGCAGGAGATGAGGGGAAATGTGTTGTGGTAAAATGGCATTATAGTTTTATCATGAACCAAATTACAGGAACCCTGATATTCCTCATCACAGCTTCTTTATTCTACATTTAATGTAATATCAATTTTAGCTAAGGAAGGTGCCAGTCATCATTTTAGATGCTTTTATATATATTCTTTGATTTAATCTTTGAAATATCTTGTGAAGTCAGAATACTATCTTCGTTTTTCAGTTTTTTAAAAAATCCAAAACTGGGTTTTTTGAGAGGTTAATTGACTTTCTCAGTGTTACAGGTGGTTTTAAGTGGATGTGTAAATGAACTCACCCATTTTACTCTGGCTTTCAAGCCAAAGCCTTTAATTGCATTAGTTATATTTGATTAATTAAATTTGTTTATGGTATTTTCTCTCACACAGAAATTTAAAAACTGGCTTTTCTGTATTGCCTAGAAAGCTCTTCCCTTTCCTATTTTACAAAATATTTTCCTGTCATTTTATAGTGAT